AGAAGTCATTAGGATGTTACATTGTTATATCCTTCCTCTTCAACTTTCTATTTCTCACTTGCTAAGTTGCTAGGATAGGTATGTGAAGGTTTTAGGTCAATCCCTTTATGTAGAGTTCCTAACTTTTCTATGTCTTCCATACCTAACAGCCTTCTATTTTTTTATGTCATGCAGTTTCTTTGCTTAGAACCTAAACACTTTGCCTAGGCCATAAATTTGCAGTTCCATGCGGATAAGGATGAACATATAGTACGTTCCTCGGAATTTTTAGAGTATAAAATGTATTCCTCAGTCCACACATATTTGGATGTTTAGTGTAGTGTCAGGTACTTTGAAATGTCACCAGGTCCATTCATCTTTAGCTCTCTCCAGGCATATATTTAAATTCAGATAGAAATAAGATACCTCTTACTTGTGCAGGACTCAGATTTTCACTAGAAATCATGGCCTTCAATCTGCAAGGAAGTGTTAAAGAAAAAGAAAGAATATAGAATGTGCTTTAACTCTCACATTAATTTCATGATTTTCGTGTAATGCTTGGGAGTTGAATAGGCATGTATTCCCTTAATTCCATTAGTTTCCTCGTAGGCTCGTGGAATTCTATCAATCTTATCTTATCCACTAGACACTAGCATCCAAATTTCAAGTGCTTTTCTATATGGTGGATACCTTCCGAAATCCCCATAACAGGGGAGAAAATATTTTCAATATCTTAGCATCTTAAATTGACCTGTCTTTTCCATTCATAAGGTTAAAACATTATCAGCAAGGGTGGAAGAGTACTTTCTATAAATTGGTCTTGATTATCGTTTTCTAGTGGAACCTGTTAGAACCAGATGATGCTGACTAGGGTTGTTTAGTGCGGATATGGCTCGGATATGATATGTACCATATCTGTATCCGCTTACCAATCAAGGATACAGATATGGATATGGATACGGATATGCTTCAGCAAGAAAACTTCATATCTATATCCATATCCACTGAAATTGGATATGGATACGGATATGCATGTGGATATACATGTGGATACAAAACGAATATGAGAAAAGTAGATTTGAAAGTATATAGTACATATGATACATAATTCATTAATATGTTCATTACATTTGAAAAGCTATGATTAGATATCTTGATCATCAAAATTAACCTAAAATCCATTAATCTAAAGATTAAAAACAATTGCAACAGTATGACCATTATAAATTTTGATATTTCGGTTACGGATCCGGATACTTCACTACATAACCATATCCATAACCATGTTTTATCAGTTATAGAGTTTAATAACCATATCCGAATATCCTAATAGGTATGGATACTGATATTTCCTCGGTTATGAATATTTTTTGTGCACCCCTAATGCTGACCCAATGCAGCCAGTAGCACCATATAAGTTTTGAGGTTAACATGAAGGGAAAGCACTTTGTTATCAGTGATCTACTGCTCAATACTTTTATCCTGTATGCACCAGCCCAGATATTCTTTCACCTGATTTTATGATGTTCTGCCAATGTATTCTACTGTAAGGTAATACATAACAACTGGAAGCACGGAATATGGATGTGAAATTTTCTTTGATCCTTGATATTGATTTGGTGGCTGCCATTGTTTGATTTTGATGCGGCCTTTTTTTTTTGGTTGACCTTATACTTCATGGAAGGGAGGAAGAGGATTTCAGTTTTTCAAATGGAGATTATATTGAGGTGTTAAACGTTGTGTGAGACACCTTTTCCCTCCCATTTGGTGTATGGGTGCAAATGTCCCTTAATTTTTTATTTTTAGAAGGTCTTTGATGTCTTAAGTTGAATTTCCTATGCTTATGATGCAAAAGTTAGGATGTACACTTGCAGTACCAATCTCAATACATGACTATGTGTACTAAGACAAACCATGTTCATATATTAAAAAAATTCTGTTGACGAGTGTTAAGACTTCTTTATGTTTCCATCTGTGTTTGTTTTATTATTTTCATTCTAGAGTAAAAGCATAGGAATGTAGGTGATTCCCACCTCATATAATATCAACTTTCAAGGCTATGTTACTCAGAGTGTGAGATCAACGTGCTAAAGTACAAAAAAGGATGAACTCGTGGACCCAAAGATCACATCAAAATTCTGTTTCCATTTAGTTTATGCACTAGGTTTTGGAAGTTTTAGGGGAAGAAGCGCCACTTTATGATTTATAATGAGTCGTACCAACTACTGGCAACTGTGAGTGGGGATATGGTCCTTGCATAAAGCTTCTTAGATCTGTTGTGAGTTTGGAATACCTACCTTGAGTGGGGATATGGTCCTTGCATAAAGCTTTTGAGGTTTGTTGTGAGTTTGGAAAAACTGCCTGTCTTGTTTACGTAATTAAAGTTCACTTATCTATGAAGCAATGAAGAATAATGAGAAATCAATAGTCTTTGAATAGTTCCAATGTGTGGTTTTCTGTACTAAAAAATAAGTCTGAAGAGCAAAACTTACAAACCATAGGATAATGTTGATGACTTAAAGGTCCATTTATTACTTGTTCAAATATTTATTTCTGGGTACAAAGTTGGAAAATTTGAGGTGAGAAGCATCCTTGGTGCAAAGTGTCAGGCTATGGCAGCTGTGAGCAGAGTTTTGTTCTATCGTAAAGCATTGAATGTCAGCTTCAAGCGGAGTGAACCTAATTTTCTTAATTATGCAATTAAAGCTCATGTAACCAAGGTGCAATGAACAATTCCAATGACATAATAGTCTCAAATATCTGATTTGCTGTAATCAAATTTAAAACTGTAGTTTCTTGATGGAGAGTATTTTCTGTATACACTCCCAGTCTTTGTTGTATGCTTATGGTCATTATTTTAAAGTTTATTTCAGTATTCGTGCAGCTTCAGCTATTAGTTGCTTTGTCATGCTTAATTGCTTAAACATGAAAATTGTAACACAGGTAGCTTGTGAAGAATCAAAGATAGTGGAAGTTTCAAAGCTCCAGACTGCTTTACAATCAATGCATATGGAGCTTGATGCAACCAAGGTTGCCTACAGTCATGAACTTGACAAGAACAACACACTTTTAGATCAGTTAGATTTATCAGCAAAGGATAATGCAATGCTGTTGAATACTCTGGAAAAACTAAACAAGGATAACTTATTTCTCAAGGTATGAAATATGTTACATTTGCGCATTTGGAATTGCTTTCGCTTAAAAGGCATATTGCAGTTTTCATTTTATTTAGTTTCGGGTTTTTAAGGAATTGGTCTCCACATCTCAATGTTATGATACAAGTCCCCCAAAACTCACAAGTTCCACCAAATCAGTCCCCTCTGGTCTAAGTCTTTTAGATATTAACTCAGAATTGGGTTAAACCCTCATATATCTCTGACACAGTTGAGTTAGTCATTAGTTACCAAGAGAAATTAAATAGGATGTTGGGTTGAGGAACATTGCTAGCCTCTTCTCCTTCAATGGAGTCTTGGCCACCATTCTCTATCTGGCCCATGTTGGCTACTCAGTTAAACTCCTTTCCAGCAAAGGTCCTTTAGATATTAAACTAGCTGGCCATAATCCCATTATGCCAGCCACTTTAAACCGTCGCCACTGACAACAATTCACAGAAATGAACACTTTGTCTGCAGTGCACTGAGAACTATGACTATGATAATCAAGCTCGCGAGTGAAGAGCTTGACTAAACCCTTCCAGTCTTCTGTTTGCTGTGTCTCTAAAGAGCTTGCCAAAACAATCACTTTGTTTGCAGGGGCTTACTTCGTCATACATAAGCTAAAGAACTCAATTTGTTGCTAGATTGTTGAGTTCTTTTTCATTGATCGAGGTTTTAAGTATTGCTTTCTTGAGCAGGCGGCGGCCAAGTACTTAATTGGAAGCAGAGAATGAGAGAGGATGTTGTTATCTCAGAACATGACAACGGGATGATGTTTGATTCAATTGAGATGACAAAAACAGTGTGAGCTTTGATTAATTCTTAGAGAGCTTGGGAGTTTTGATCAGTCTAGAGAGAGAGTTTATGGCCAGATGGCTGTTGGATTTGAGGGGAAGGAGACGGGTATAACGGGAAAGTGAATAATGTAAAATCAGTTACTTCTTAAAAAGTTACTCACAGACAGGCTACAGAGACTGATTTGGTGTATTTATTAGCTTTTGGTGGACTTGTATCATTATATTAAGATTTGAAAGACCTATTTCAAAATACGGAAGATTTTGGGGTCAACCACTATCTCAAACACCCTTTATTTTTTCAGTTTCATGCATGCCACTGCCGTAATTTCACAATTTTCCGTTTATTGAAGAGACATAATCTAAGCACAGTAAGAGATTCTGGCCAGAAGGCAGGGCCAGACACATGACCTGACTGGCATTCTCTATTTGATCTGGCCTTTAATATGTTCGAAAAACATCAACGACCTTCCCTTTATTTATCAATTTTAAGTTTTTTAACTTAGTGAAATCCACCCCAATCAGGATCACTGAAACTTTGTGGCTTTGTGGATTTTTTTTTTTTTTTTTTTTTTTGGGGGGGGGGGGGGGGTTGCAAACAAACTGATTACATAAATTTGCATCTATTGCTGCATCGTTTTCTACTGATCTCAACAGAACAAAATTTGCATGAGCAACACTAGACATGAAACCACAAATAAATTGACCCTTTCCTGATTGCTCTACAATCAAACTAGTATACCTGATCTTTTCTGTACTATAAACTCCTCTCTCTCCAACTGGAAATTCTTCCAATTTCTTTCTATCATTTGCCCTTGTCAAGTTCATCATCATGACATTGAGGCGGCACTCCAAATACCCAATCACGTACATTCAAGTACATGGAACAAAATACTTCTCTTTCTTGTGCATAACAGTGCATGACGATCGATGTCACTATGCTAAACACAACAATATCTGGTCATTTCAATTGTGATGCCTGCGGACACAAGGTGGCATCTGACATGCACGTGAAGAAGCTCTCAATGGCACGTGCAAAGCAATAAAGAGATATTTCAATTCTCCTGCTCTTCTTCTCAATTCCTAAAGCCAATCCTGTAGAAAATGTTCAAATTGCAACCATTGGAATGTTGCATCGCTGAAGGAGTCTGAACAGTAGGCAAGTCCAAGCCCAGGCAGACGCTCAATATAGTGAGAGAACTAAGCTAGACCTTGTGGTACCCAGGAGACTCTTCCCTAAAATTGTATAGAGCCTTTTCAACAGACCTTGATGCCGAACTATTAATGCAGGCACTAAATATACTGGAAGATAAATTTCTTTGCATTTCATTATTCACATCGCTATTTCCTGAACCGTAGACTGTGTTTTATTACTATTAGTGTATTGATTTTAAACCAATTTTTTTTTCACAGGGGTCATTCTTCTAAGAAATTACAAACTTGACAAGTTATATTTCTTCTAAGAAATTACAAACTTGACAAGTTATATATATATATATATATATATATACACACACACACACACACACACACACACACACACACACACACACACACACACACACAAAACGCTCCCACACTTACAGGGTTTTTTGGTGAATTTTATCATTCATTTTTTCACATGTTATCTTTACTGGTTAAATTGCTGCAGGCTTGTTTTTCTCATTCTTTTAACTGCACATGGTCAAAGTTAATTGGACTGATATTTTCTTTTTGTACAGAACACACTGGAATCCATTGCTAAAAGGAATCAGGAAATGGAGCACGAGCTTTCAAACACTCAAAAATGTCATGAGGACACTGTAGACAAGCTGCAGAATGTGGAATCACGTTGTTCATTACTTCAGCAGAACTTACATAAGTATCGTTTTATCATTTTGGAGAAAATCTTATGACATGTCAGTTAATCTGTATAGAGAATAAAGTCAAATCCAACAGAACATTATAATTTTTTTTTGTTGGAGTGCGTTTAATACACTTATTGCATATGCTTACCTCACCTATCTGGGAGGTTTTAAGAGTCATTCACCATTGGGTCATTGATGATTATATTGTTGTTGCTTCAGAATTTTCTCTTTGTCTTTAAGAGCAAGAATGCTTCAAAGTTCAGGATTTTGGGATATCATTAGTTAATGTTTACGAAATGTGAATGTTGACAAGATCTGAGCAGTAAACTAAAATATAGGAGAACAATTAATTCTTTATTGTATGTAAAAATCTACTTCAATTGAGGGTAAGATGATCGCGTATTGCCTAATATGGCTTTGCTGTGCAAGAGATCAAATGGTTCATTGGTTAGGTGTACTGACTGTTGGTCAGTAAAGAGGCCATGTTACTTGCTTAACACCTATAAATCATTTTAGAGTTTCTAGGAGTATTTATTGCTGAACTCAAGGATTGGAGACCACCATTGTTTTTGTCACTTCTGAATCTTTAGGTTTACACCTATATTGTCCCTTTGAAATTAATTACCTCATTTAGGACTCATGTATAGTTTAATTGTCGCATCGTTTGTGCCCATTGAGCCGCTTGTCCTGATTGATTCAACTTCATCACACAATGCATTCAACTTTATTGGCTTATTTTTCAGACTTTCAACCCAAGGATACAACAAAATTTGCATTTCCCTTGCACTGTTTAACAAATTTGCATTTCCCTTGCACTGTTTAACAAATTTGCATTTCCCTTGCACTGTTCAACAATTCTTAATTTCACTTTGAATTTCATAATTCATTCATATTCTCTCTAGCAAAGATTTTTCTTTAGAGGAGTTTGTTTGTCTTAGGCGGACTGTTATTATTCTGCTCGTTATTTACTCTTCTTGTACCTGACTTTGACATCGATTTGTTTGTTTCTTAGATTGGAGAAGAAGCTCTCCAGTTTAGAAGATGAGAACCACACTTTAAGACAAAAATCACTTCACTTATCTCCGCGGAGCAACCAAACTGGATTCGTAAAGCATTTCTCTGAGGTTCTCCATGTTCACTTTTTAATTTCAGCATTTAACTTAATTGCAGTGCTGCTTCCTTCCTAGGATATCAACTTACACAGTATGGGAATCACATAGCGTGATCATTTTGTATAAACATGATATCATCCGTACTAATGTATAACCACTCTTTTTTGTACAAGGTATTACACTTGTCGCCCAGGAACAACCAAACTGGAGTCGTAAGCCCATTTTCTGAGGTTCTCTGTCTTCCTTTGTTGATTTCATTATATAAAATGATTGCAATATTTCCTTTTTCCTAATTATACAGTGGTGCAGTCATATGCCACAAGCCTTTTTGTATATATACTATTATTCTGACTAAAGTATTTGTATTCTGTTTTGTACAAGAACTATTCTGTTGCGCCAGTGCTTTCCAACATCAACCAAAGGCCTCTATTAGTAAGATAAGGTTATTTGTCTCTGTTTTCTTCAGAACCTTGTGTATATCCATATAACTCTTTTCTATTTAATTTGTCTTGTAGGAAAGTTCTACTCCTTCAATAACCTTGTTTCAGCTCCAGCACAGCTTATCTGATTCAAGAAGATCCAGGATGACTTTTGAGAGGCATGAGGTTGGTTTAGCTGTCTTCCACCATTTGCTATTGACTTTTGTCATTGTCAATTTTTGCTTCCATCTCTGTGCATAACTGCTGAAGGACGTTGGCTAGGATTTTACAGGATATGAGAGCTCAACATTTTTTCTCATTCCCCTTAAATGTTAAGAAAATAAGTTCTTTCAACTAATTATTCACTGACTAGATGGAACTTCATTTACATCACACTGGGATGTTGCTAGATTCTTATTCTTTGCTTCTTCCTCCTAAATTGGAAAGCTTGGAGTTTAACTTTTAACATTTCTACAGGAATGCAATGAACTACTTCAGAAGTGCATAAAAGAAAATTTGGGGTTTAAGGATGGAAAACCAATTGCAGCATGTATTATATATAAGTGTCTTCTCCACTGGCATGCTTTTGAAGCAGAGCGGACTGCTATTTTTGACTATGTAATTGAAGCTATTAATAATGTCCTAAAGGTTGGAATCTGTCTGCTTTGCCCTCATTCATCTTTAGTACAGAGATGGTTTAATTTTCTTAAAATACTTCTTTCTGCTTATTACTGGTTCAGGTGGACACCGAGAGGGATATCTTGCCATACTGGCTATCCAATGCTTCCGCACTCCTGTGCCTCTTGCTTAGAAATCTTCGGTCAAACGGGTTCCCTAGTACACCACCACGACAAGCTGAAGCATCAAAGGGGTTGGGTGGAAGCATAATTCAGGGTGGAAGGATAATGCATGTTAGTTCAGTTCAATTGAAAGTACAATAACATGTTTCACTTGCTGCCTACAATTTATTATTCACAACTTAACTTTGGCTTCCTATTTCTGCTTTGAAATACAAAAAGCGTATCCCTCACTGGTCACCATAACTTTGGGCTGTTGAGTTTCGTTGCAGTAGCAAACTGTGTTTGGATTGGAGGAGTTGGAGCCTCACATTGTTCAGCATGCATCCATATCTCAACATTCATGTTTGGTTGGATGTTGTTGCAAAGACAAAATAGGTTAAAATACAGTTGCTACTGCATTCAAATTATAGTGTTCAAATGCCAGGAGGTAGAACTACATGATCTTGTAAATTTATTTGTTCTTCCAGCTACTGTTTTACCAACACGCACCCAGATATAAATTTGATCAGGTTCAAATTTTGCCCGGTATGCATTGGGAAGTAGAAATAAAGTAAAGATGATATGTCGTCCTACAAGCTTAGGTCTTGCTCATTACAGAAGAGCGCTCAACCTGTGGATTGTTAGAATACAGAAGATATCCTTCTATGCTGACCCCAATTAGAGGTTTGATTCAGTGGCAAAGACTTTTAAGGGTGAACTGTCTCTAGAAACTAATGTCATAAAGATTTATCGATGTTGATGCATGCTGAGAGGAAAATAGGATATCATGATTTAGGTCCATGAGTTTTATTTGCATATTAGAAAGAGCAAACAAAGAGGGTAATTCAACCCTGGAGACTATTACTTGATCATCCCATTTTATAGAGGTCATGTGCTCCCTTTCTTGAAACAGGAGTCAGGGAAATGATATAAACTGATATTTGGCTTAATTTCCCTACTCGCTTATGCACTCTTGCGCAGGTTAGACAGCATATGGAACAAACTAAATGTGCATAGATCAAATGATTTGGGGTATTCATAAATGAAGTACCTGACACTAAAGAGAAACTTACAAGTAAGTTTTGACCTAAGTAACACTTACAGCTACCGTGAACAGTGAGTGTGACAATTAAGACCATATACTAATAATGTTTAGTATGATTTAAGTAGATGTTACTAACGACCGAGTTAGTAGATGGTTTAAGGTACATGAGCAAATCCGTCATAGAAAAAGTGCCTAACTTACCAAAAGTGACGTGCCTAACTTACCACATGAAACTACATGAGCAAATCCGTCATACCTGCCCCAAGCTAACCATCTTGATTAACCTATGTTTTCACAATGTTCTAATAACATCATATTTATGAGATTAAAAAATATCCATTTTTTCAATAAAACACTGTGCTCATCCTATGGCTTCCACCTTAACCCCCCTGCCCGTGAACCCCGCCCCCTCCTGACCCAAAAAAAAAAAAAAAAAACCCACAAAACAGAGAAAAAAAGAAAAGGTCTAAACCAATCGAGTTTATTAGTGAAAGACAGACCCAAGCTCAGGGAGGATCTGTGAGAAAAACGAAGTGCCCCCTTTTATTTACTCCCAGAAATAACCATGCTATTATATGGTCTTAGTTTATGCTTTATGAAAAATCAGAGCCTAGCTCAGGGAGGATTTGAGAGAAAGAGTGCCCCTTTTTTTATTTGACTCCCAGAAGTAACCATGCTATTATACAGTCATAGTTTAGTGGTTATTTCTAGTTCAAACATGCATTGAAACTATCCAATTGCTGATATGCCCGCATGGATCACCTTACTTGTTTTTAATATGCTACTCTGTGAAGTTATATATCCAAATACGAGCTACGCGGTTCAATCCTTTCTCTACCACATATATATTTTTTATTGCTTAATGGTGATTTGCATTTAACGCTTACTTCTTCCAGGGTATAACTTCTCATAAGCATAGTACATCAGATGACAGCTTGTCACATGTAGATGCACGATACCCAGCTATGCTGTTCAAGCAGCAACTAACCGCCTGCTTGGAGAAGATATTTGGGTTAATCCGGGATAATTTGAAGAAAGAGATATCTCCACTTTTAAGCCTTTGCATTCAGGTGATACATGCATCTGTAGCTCAATGATTCTTCATCATAGTTAGTCTTAATATCTTGAAGTAAAATTTATGATGATATATTCCTTTTTGGCAGTAAAAACTGATACTGCCTGCTGCTATGATGTAAAAATAGGTGAAGGACAGCACATTCAATTGAATAATTCAATAAAGTTATAGTAAGAATGTCTTTTGTGGATTGACTATATCTTTGTGGTAGAGTTGAATGCAATTCCAGTATAATAGATCTATTAGCTTATCCCTCTAACTCTAATGCCTCGTATGGTACGTGGGAATGGGTGGAATGGAATGCTCATTTCCACTTCTCATTTATGGGTACCAGATACAACACCTTTTAGAAAGCTAGAATGCTCATTCCCACATAGCATTCATTCCCACTTTGTGCGAGAAAGAGCATTCCCATTGAGATGGTAGGGAATGGGCATTTCCACTTGAGTGGAAATCAAAATTTTGAAATAACACCTTGATTGCTTACTAATTACCAAACATAAAAAAGATTGTCATTCCCTCTTCATTCTCAAATCCCACCCAAACGTGGGAATGGGAATGTTCCATTCCCGTACTTAATCCGTTCCTTTCCTTATTTCATTCCATCCTCATTTGACTCGATTCCCACATGCCAAACGAGGCTAAGACTTATTTTTTGAGATAATTTTTTGGTAGCTTTTTGGTAATTCAGGATTAAAATGTGTGAACTATAAGGTTGGCTTTCTTTCTTATCAACTAGACTTCTAGATTTAGGTTGAGGCCGCTCTTGTCATAGTTTCCTTGGATATGCCATTTGGTGCTGATTTTAAATGTTGGCATCACACCTGTATCTAGTTGTAAATTTCATCAAATCTTTCATAGAGTCTTCACGCTCTTTAGCCAAGTTCATTCTAAAGGGGAGAGATTTTTAGGCACTTTAGTTGGTACAGAGCAACTTTAGCTGTGTAGATCTTTCACATGAATGTAAATGTTGAATTTTAGTGAGAAGGATTTGGCTCCAAATTTGGAGTTTCTTTGTAAGAAATCTAACCCCTTTGATATTCTTCCATGATGGATCACTCGAATGGAGGATCCACCCTGCTCAACCTGTTTAATATTGTCACAAAAACATATATAAATAGAAACTATGTGTACTATGTATTCTGAAACTTATATGGTAATGGGGTCCATGTAATGATACCTTTTGTTTTATTTTAAACGGTCCTTAATTTGCAGCCTTTATATTAGTGGGTTAGAATGTTTTAAGATACATAATTTTTAGTCTCTGTGCCTTTTATTATGTGTGGATTAAGATGCAACACGTGGGTCTTGCATAATGAAAGCCACCATATGATTTGATAGGTGGAAACAAACTTTATATTCGTTCTGAAAGAACTTTTAAGTCTTATCATCATGCGCACACGCACACAGATAAGATTAATTAACCAACAATTGAGGAGGATGATCTCCTCCTACTGTGAAAATCAACATTCTTTGTACTTTCATCAATCAGCTTTCATCATGTTGATGTTCATGCCTTGTGATGTTCATACACAAAATAATGTATGTAGCATGAAGTTTAACAATGGATCTAAGAATAAGAAATGATATATTTGTTGTAAAATATTTATTCTTAATTCACAAGATTTTTAGGATATTCTATAACCTAAAATTTGGTGCATAAAGTTTCATACTATTGGAATCCTGATTAGTTGGCTGAATCATTAATGTATAATATCTATTATAGTTTCATTCAAAAACTTAGTATTTTGTTTCTAGACACCTATAGATGAGTTTGAATGAGTGGATTTCTCATATGACTTGTGAAATAGTAAATTTGCACGGGAAGGATTTGTCTCCTGATTGACCATGCCTATCCCCCTTGTTTTAAGTCTCCGCCTAGGCGTACGCCTAGGCCTAGGTGGCCTAACTAACATCTAGTGCCTAGGCGGTATCAAAGCTGCTCACCTAGATTTTAAAAGTGTTTAGGGGAGTATTGTGTGCTTACGTGGACTGCATCCTTAAGGCATTTGTCATAATTTTCTGCATTGCAGTCTTCACGTCGTCCAACATCCTTCAAATTTCTTTAATCTCCAAATATGAACACTTCCACTATTTCTTCGACCTTCAACAAAACCTCCTCGACCACCACTTAAATGAAAAAAGGAATCTGTCTAGACAGCAGTCCGACACCTAAGCTTTCTATAGCATTATCATTTACTATAAATTATTATAATTAAAAAATAAAAAAAGAACACATCCTAGACTCTAGGCAACGAGTCCAATGCCTAGGCCTTCTAGCGCTTTCTATAACCTTATTAGTTATTATTTTGGTTATTTAGCATTTAAGTATGCATGGTTTATTGTGGATCTAAGATTGCTATCTATATTTTTTGTAAATTTATATGAATTTAATATATATTATTAATTATTATAATTAAATAATTTAAAAATAGCCAAAAGCCTAGACGCTAGCTCAAACACCTAGTCTGCCTAGCGCCTTCGATAACATTTCTGTGGTGTGTGTGTGTGTGGGGGGGGGGGGGGGGGGG